AGGGTTTAGGGTTTATATAGGTTTTAGGGTTCAGGGCTTAGGGCTTAGGGCTTAGAGTTTAGGGTTCCGGGCTTTGGGTTTAGGGCTTAGAGTTTAGGGTTCCGGGCTTTGGGTTTGGGCTTAGAGTTTAGGGCTTAGGGTTTAGGGCTTAGGGTTCGGGGCTTAGGGCTCAGGGCTTAGAGTTTAGAGTTCAGCGCTTAGGGTTTATGGCTTAGGGTTCAGGGCTTAGGTTTTAGGGCTTAGGGTTTAGGGCTTAGGGTTTAGGGTTTAGGGCTTAGGGTTTAGGGCTTAGGGTTTAGGGTTTAGGGTTCAGGGCTTAGGGCTTAGGGCTGTAGGGCTTAGGGTTCAGGGCTTAGGGTTTAGGGCTTAGAGTTTAGGGTTTAGGGCTTAGGGTTTAGGGCTGAGCTGAGGGTTCAGGGCTTAGGGCTCAGGGCTTAGAGTTTAGGGTTCAGGGCTTATGGCTTAGGGTTCAGGGCTTAGGGCTTAGGGCTATTGGGCTTAGGGTTCAGGGCTTAGGGTTTAGGGCTTAGGGTTTAGGGCTCAGGGTGTTTATAGGGTTTAGGGCTGAGGGTTTCGGGCTCAGGGATGGAAGGACTTGTCTTTCGGAGAGTCGGTGGTTCTGTTGGTGGCTTCAGGGTTCAGGGTTCCTGGGTTCTGGGGTGTTCCCTAAACCCTAAACCCCTAAACCCTGAACGCTTGAGGGGTTCAGGGCTTGGGGTTTAGGGGTTCAGGGTTTAGGGTTGAGGGTTTAGGGTTTAGGGTCTATAGACCACCAGAATATTCGGATTCTGTTAGAGAACCCTACTACAGATCCGAGGTGTCTTCATCCACTTTCCCATATTACCCCAAAGCCTTAAGATCCAAATGCCAAGCCTCCAGCTCAAAAGCTCCAAACTCGAACCTTCTCACCCTCAAACCCTAAACCCTAAACCCTAAACCCTAAACCCTAAACCCCTAAACCCTAAACCCTAAACCCTAAAGCCTAAAGCCCTAAATCCTCAAACCCCAAGATGCTTCAGCCCACGACTCCTCTACTCTAAGCCCCAAGCCCCAAACCCAAACCCAACATCAAACCCCTACGGGTTTAGGGTTTAGGGTTTAGGGTTTAGAGTTTAGGGTTTAGGGTTTAGGGTCTACATCCCGAACCTCACAGTTCACCCGTTTCGAATCGGCCAGGACGGCCCTTTACGTAACGCCTTTGAAACATGTTCGTAAAAAGATCTTCTTAGGCCCAATAAGGGAAAATATAAAATGTCCCAAAGACCTACCCCATCTGTATAAACCCTAAACCCTAAACCCCTAAACCCCTAAACCCTTAAGAATTCCTTCAAGGAGCACCTAAACCCGAAATGCCAATACCGAAAACGCCCCAGGAGGGTGACCAGCGAATGCGCGGCCGCCTTGCCGACCAAGAAGGGCGGCTCCTCCGGCCAGTGGGTTCGGAGTTTAGACTCCAGGGTTCAGGGTTTAGGGTTTAGGGTTCAGGGTTTAGGGTTTAGGGTTTAGGGTTTGGGGTTCAGGGTTCAGGGTTTAGGGTTTAGGGGTTTAGGGGTTTAGGGGTTTATGGGTTTAAGGTTAAGGGCCTTTGGGCTTTTTGGGTTTAGGGTTTTAGGATTTTTACAGGGGGAAAGGGTCTTACCAAGGTTCTGAGCCTGTCGAAGATTCTGGGTTCTAGAAGGCGTCATATAGGGGCCTTAATAATTACCTATACTAATTTGGGTGTTCCTTATTATAATTATATAGTATAATGGGCCCAAGTACCCTATTCTAATTATTAAGGCCCCTACATTACAAGGCTTTCAAAGGGTTTCTAGGGTTGACATTTTAGGGTTTCAGGCTGAGGCATTTCTACAGTCGCGAGTTTAAGGTTTAGAACTTCGGGTTCAGGGTTTCGGGTTGATTCTGCAAAAGGATCGCGGGACTCAGCGAATGGGTTCGAATCGTGCTCATAGATGGGTACCAATCTGGGCGTGTCCTAGTTCCAAACCTTCTTGTAACCTGCCCTAAGGGTCCATGTGCTCACATAGTATATACATTGGCCCCAAAGTGCCTATATAGGGACTACTTTGAGGCCAAAGTGTATACTATTTGGGTACATGGACCCTTAGGGAAACACTCAACGATAAACCCTTAACGCGCGGTGCCTAGAGACCCAGATGCAAAGTTCAGCGTCTTGAGGCATCGGAGTTCTGACTTGCGAGCCTCATGGTTTAGGACGTATCTTTAGGTTTCAGGGTTTAGGGTTCATGGTTTAGGATTTATCTCTAAGGTTAAGGGTTTACGTAGGGTTCATTGTGTAGGACTTATCTTTAGGGTTCAGGATTTTGGGTTCTTGGTTTAGGCTTATGTTTAGGGTTTAGGAGTTATCTTTAGGGCTTAGGGTTCATGGTTTGGGACTTATCTTTAGGGTTTCGGATTTTGGGACTTATACCCTCAACCCTTTGCCCTAAACCCTAAGCCCTGCAACCCTAGGGTTCATGGTTTAGGACTTATCTTTACAGGATGCTGGCGTCTGGAGGTGCCCTCGGGCCCGAACGTCCTGAAGACGAAGTCCCAAACGCATCGTGCCTTTGGGGGCCGGAATAACTAGAATAGGGTTTTGGGTTTAGGGTTTAGTGCGTTGGGTTATCTTAGAGTAGCTTTGTAGTAGAGCATGTAGCCTTTAACCTTTTTAAAGGGTATTATAATCCCTACATATCCACAAAGATTAACCTTAAGCTTGCCCAGGGTACTGGGCAAGTAAGTTAGGCCATCGGTGGACTAAGGAGCCCTAGGTAAAGGAAGCCTATTCTGCATGATTGTGGGACCTCCATTACTCGATTAGGGACTAGGGTTTAGGGGACCTCCATTACAGCGATTTGGATGCCCGAGGTGGTTCACGCTGTCCAAGTTCCTGACCCCTTGGTCGCCAAGATATAGATGTACCCGCAGGCCGTGGTTTTCGTGCCGATTTCCCAGTAAGAAAATACGCACAGGTAGCAAGAACCAGGGGTGTTTGACGTGTATATATATATATATATGTATATATATATATATGGGTCTCGACAAATGGTGTTCGTATCCTATCGCAGTCCCTCTGTGTATTGATAGAACTATAGCCCCAAAGCCCTGTTCTAGTTGTTGCGACCCCTGTGTTGGCGCGTTGAAGCTTCGAAGGTTTTATGTGGACTGCGGCACTGCTATCTGGACGAACCAAAGTCGTTCCCAACTGTTTTATTTAGGGTTCAGGGTTTAGGGCTTATTGGCATCGTGCGACAACCTTCATCTATGAGATAACTAAGCAAACCCAAACCCGAAAAACTGTGCTGCGCCTTTGCAACAGCCCAAACCCTTTAACACACACACACACACACACTACCTCAGCCCTCTCATTAAAATGCAAAACGAAACTTCTCAACCACCGGTTTTAAACATGCTGGCGGGAGATCACCGGGCCGATAACGAAACCTACAAAACCCTATGGAGCGTGATGAAGACCGTTTATCACCTTAAAAGAAAACCGATAGCAAAAGCGATATGAAGACCTCTACAAGCTCCCTGAACCCTAATATAGGGGCCTGAATAATTGCCTATACTATTTGGGGGGGTTCCTTATAATACATGTAGTGTAGTATACCCCAAAACCCCATTCTAATTATTAAGGCCCCTACATTTAACCTCATTTCAAGCCCTAAAGCCCTGCCTGCAGTCTCCATTATAGCCCCCTTATTTGTTGAACCAGTTGTCTATTTAGGATCCTATAAGGTATCCCAAAAAAGGAGCTACAAACGAGACTGGAGGTACGCCCTAAACCCTACCAAAACGCTAAACCTTTTGTAGAGCCCCAAACCCTGAACCCTATAAACCCTAAAGCCAAAGCCCCAAGCCAACCCTAGGCCCTATGAGCCCTATAGGTTTAGGGTTTAGGGTTTAGGGTTTAGGGTTTAGGGTTTATAAGCCCTATAAAACCCTACTTCCCTGGGCCCTTCGCGCAGTATCGACCTCACAGAGGGACTCGGGGCAGACTCGGCCGTAGTAAGTGGCGGGCTCAGCAAGGACCAGATGAGACCTTTTAAAGGAACCTTACTAAGGGGTGTAGGGTTTAGGGTTTAGGGTGAACTTTAAGGGAACTTCAGAGGATTGTTAAGGGTTCCTTTAAGGGACCTTAAAGGACTGTTTAAGGGTTCCTTTAAAGGAACCTTAAGGGACTGTTAAGGGTTCCTTTAAGGGACCTTTAAGGGACCTTAAAGGATTGTTAAGGGTTCCTTTAAGGGACCTCAACGGACTGTTCGAGGGTTCCTTTAAAGGAGCCTTAAAGGACTGTTAAGGGTTCACTTGAGGGACCTTAAAGGACTATTTAAGGATTCCTGTAAAGGAACCTTAAAGGATTGTTAAGGGTTCCATTCGCCCTTAAACTAGGGTTTACGGTTTAGGGTTTAAGGGTTTGGGGTTTAAGGTTTGGGGTTTTGAGTTATGCATAGAGCCCTCATGGCCTTTGATAATGGGTATTTAAGGTATGATACAGGGTAGTTGGGGGGTCTGGGAATGGCTCCAAGGGTTTTGGCTTTCTAGGCGGTTTCGGGGTTTTAGGGGTGTTTTGGCATTTAGGGTATATAGGGTCTTAGGGTTTAGGCGGTTCAAGGCTCTACAACTACTATGAAGTTCAGGGTTTGGGTTTTCAGAGGCTTTGCTATAGTAGCTTCAGTTTAGAGGCTTTATGAATAAAAGTTCTGAGATGGACTAATCAACGTTTAGAGTTCAGGGTTTCTATAAGCGTTCGGAAGTTTACGGGCCTTACGTAGGGTGTTGTAGAATGAGTTTGCTTAACCCTTGCATAGCATCAAAATAGCCCCAAAAGCCTTTTATGATAGGGTCTTTGGGCCCAAAATCCTTAAACTAGGAGTCCTTTGAGGGTAAGGGTAAGGCTTTCTAGTGTTCACGGAATCAAGGGTTTCTTGCAGAGAGATGAATCACGCTGTTTTGGGAGTTCTGGGTGTTAGTTTGGGTTTGGGGTTCAGGGGTTTAGGGTTTAGGGTTCAGAGGTTTGCGGCTTACCTCGACCCTATGAAACCTTCCTTTCTAGGGCTCCTTACTAAGAGTTCTTTGTATAAGTCCTAAGAAAGGTAGCTTATTTGGGGTCCCGGGTAGGGGATACAGAGCCTTTAGGGGTTATCTAGGGCTGGAGGATCCTTGTTCGGAAAGTCTGAAGTCCAGCACTTTCAGGTTTAGGGTTTAGGGTTTAGTAGAGTCTAGATGAACGAGTATGATGCAGGAAGTGTATTGCACATATCCCCAGGTGCCCGAGTGAGCCCTTTATGGATTAATCAAAGCCTCCATCTGCCATCTTGTTTCATACCAAATCGGACCCTAACCTTGCAAACCTCGATGCTCTAATCATTCTATTCCCTACTGCCCTTTTTGTTTAGCTTGTTCAGAATTATAAAGACTTTCAATAAAGCGTAATTAGCCTTAACCCGAACCCTGAACCCTAAACCTTAAACCCTAAACCCTAAACCCTAAACCCTAAACCCTAAACCCTAAACCCTAAACCCTAAACCCTAAACCCTTAACCTTGACCCCTAACGTGCTGACCTTGCAGGGGACCCGAGGCCTAAGCTCTGTGCGTGCTTCGTGGGGGCAGGACCCGGCATTCTGCTGGAACACCGTGGAGACTGGACGGTTTAGGGTTTAGGGTTTAGGGTTTAGGGTTTAGGGTTTAGGGTTTAGGGTTTAGGGTTTAGGGTATCAGAAGGAGCTTTTTGGCCTTAGTGCCTTTTGGAACTGGAAAGTCAAGTATGGTTGCCATATTTGCCGGGCAGAGAACAGCGGGCCGACTGCTTGGAGCCGCGACTTGTGCTTCAACTTTCCTCGTCGTACAGACAACGATACCATACTCAGTGTGATGATACAGCGTTTCAACCCGATATGCACTGCTATTGGGTTCAGTGCCAGCACTCAACTGAAGTGGTGCAGTATGCACACTGTCAACTTGGGGATCGGCCAAGTTGTGAACGGAACTGTCGCGCAGCTCCTTTGTGAACGAGGCTGAAAACACATCTAGTTTAGGGTTTAGGGCTTTAGGATTTCGGGTTTAGGTGGTTTAGGATGGTTTAGGGGTTTAGGGGTTTAGGGTTTAGGGCACAATAGTCAACGCACCCTTCACAATTCACAAGGTTCCTTGAGCTGTTCCCCCTAGGTAGGGGTGAGACTGAATCAGTTCTGTACGATTTAGTAGGTGGCTGTACCTATATAGTACTGGTATATGCATTGATTTCAACAAGGGGTTCCTACATTGTAACTTTACGGCCAGAGAAGATACGACATAAGTGTACATGGTCCCTATCAATGAAGGAGCTCGCACCCACAAATCCTAAGCCCGAAAGCCCAAATCCACAACCTAACAGCCTAAGACCAACCAAATTTTAGTTTTGATCTGAGGTGCTACACCCTAAACCCTACAGGAATCTCTAAACTCGCCAACCTCGTAGACATGCAGAAAGGGAACGCCAAAACACAAGACCCAGGAAGGAACCCTAAACCCAAAACACGGAATAACAATGCGTAAGCCCTAAGGAAACTCTACAGGAACTCTCTAAACCCAAACCTAAATTAAGGAACTCCTTTCCGAGCCCAAACAGGTTTAGGGTTTACGTAGGGTTTAGGGTCTATAGAAAATCCTGTTATGATTCCCAGTAGCACCTGCCGTAAGCCCATGAAGGGTAGCCTTTGATCCAAGGCCTATATGGCTGGTTCTCCAAACCCCTGTCAGGGTACTTTTTTTATAAGGGTGCCGTACTATTTGGGTGACCTAAAAAGGGACCCGAATTTGGAGATTTACCCCTATCCCTAAACCCTAGACCCCCAACACCAAACGACTCGAAACCCGAAGAAAGAACAGTCACAAAGGCTAAACCCTAAACCCTAAACCCTAGACCCTAAACCCTAAACCCTAAACCATAAAGCCCTAAGAAGACCCATGCAGAACCCTGATCTCCAAATCCTAAACCCGAAACCCATCAAGGGTACGGTTTAGGGTTTAGGGTTTAGGGTTTAGGGTTTAAAGGGTTTAGGTTCCCCATTAGCACCCTCTTGCACTTCTTTCCCTTTGTTGGGTTCCCTTCTTGAGCCCAAACAGTAGGAAAAAGCGTACCCTTTTCATTAAGGGCTACTGGGGAGCCTATACTATAAACCCTAAGCCCTAAACCCTAAACCCTAAACCCGAAAACCATAAACCCTAAACCCTAAACCAGCTAAACCCCAAACCCTAAACCAGCGAAACCCCAAACCCTAAAACCCTAAACCCTAAACCTTAAGCCCTAAACCCTATATAAAACCGAAACCCTATATAAAAACCCTAAAACCCTAAGCCCTAGATGTGAGGCAAGCTTCAGTCGGGTGAGCTGGTAGAGGCTTTAGAGCTTCCTCAGTTCGACGACGCGCAAGGCCCCGGGCTGTTCAGGGTTTAGGGGGTTTAGGGTTTTAGGTTTGGGGTGTAGGGTTTTCGGGTTTTAGGGTTTAGGGTTTTATGGTTTGAGGGCTTAGGGTTTAGGGTTTAGGGGGTCGTTGGTTTCGTGTTTAGGGCTTAGGGCTTCGAGGTTTAGGGGTTGCATGTTGACAGCAAATCTCCGAACATGAACGGTGACGTGATAATCAGCACAGCAGTGGCATCCAGATTTTGTATGCCAACGCTAACCGAACCTCCAAGTATACACCCTAAACCCAAATGTCAAGAAATAAATGCTTCGGGGTCTGAAGCTTTACCGCACTTGGGACCAAACCCTACACCCTAGACTCTACGGTGAATGATAAAAATCATGCATTACCCAAAATACGCAATATACCATAACTCTCATAGTTTAGGGTCCTTCAGGTAATGCAGAGTTTGTATCATCAACAGTAGGAACGCTAAACCCTAAACCCTAAACCCAGAAACCCTAAACCCTAAACGCT